GCGTTCATGTGTGTGTGCGTGTGTGTGTGTGTGTGTGCACAAAACAGTATGTGGTCTGTGTGGTCACTGCTGTCTCTGTGGGTGTCTGGCCTCAAGGAAAGCCAGGTGAGCCGGTGCTGCAGTACAATCCCCAGTCTATTTGATGAGGAGACCTCATGTAAAATTGATGTGAACCTCAAGGTCATGGGGAGTTCATTCAGAGCATGCTCAGATCAGCCCGCGCCTGCAGCACACCGCAGAAAATAGGACTATTCTCCCAGACTGCGTCCGACTCACTGTAAGCTGCTCTCAGCCTGGTGCGCTGCGTTTCAGTTCCATGAAGAACTGCTCTGCCTGATTCACCTGTTTAATTATAATGGGAAGAAAAAAAAAACTGGGTGTCTTAATCTGCTGGTTTTGAACCACCAGGTTATAGAACAGTACATACAGCTGGTGGTTGGTTATTTTTATGTTTTCAAAACACCAACATCTTTTTTTCTGAAATCACAATAAAGTTCACTAGATTAGATAGCATGTTGTAGTGCTGTCTGAATGCCTAGTAAGAATTATTATACAGTAAACTGTATAGTCGACTCAAATTATCCCAAAAACCGGTATAGTCATTAACAAAGATCGATTGGTGCCACTTCACAATTAGGTACATCTTGTAAATGGTTCACACATTGTAACTAATGGCTTTATTAATGGTAATAAATCATTTGTTAGTGTTCTATAGATAAGATGTAAGTCATTAATAAGAACAGATTTTTGAGGTGCCAGGTTGTGGAACTTCCCTCTCAGCACCAACCTGGGGATGAGACGCGACGGATCCATTTTACCAGCCTGCATGACAGCTAGGAGCTCACTCTCTCTCCCCTGTGTCTGCATGTGTGTGTGTGCTCTGTAAGTGCATGTGAAGGCATTGCTCCCCGCTGTTGTGTGTGTCCTCTGAGGCAAACTCGTCTGGCAGTGAAAAAGGAGTCAATTGCCTTTTTAGACGTTTACCCGCGTTTGAAAACTGCTTGTACGCGCTAATTTTGGTGTAAAGAGTATTATTAACATTTACAACTGATTTACATTACTGTAAGAAACCTTTATGAATGGCTTTCTAACATATATAACTGCTTATTTAAGGGCTTATTAACCTTTATTAATGTATTTAAAATAGATGATAATAGATAATTATATTAGATGACCCACTAACGGTCAACTAACCCCTCTGATCATAACAATAATACGACCTGTAGGAGTGAACCAGCAGCAGGCGTATCATTGCCTTCATTGTTATGGTTATAATAATAAACACGCAGTTAAGGTTGTGGAACGGTCGCGGATAAAAGAAACAGACATACAAACAGTGGTCTCCTGTGTGTGAAAGTCCTGCGTTTTGTCGACCCAAAAAAGGTAAATTTGGAAACACATAATATAGTCCTCTACATAGAATTCACCATGTAGTGAGTGGTGGTGGGTGTAGGAGGTCGGGCACAAAGAACAGCTACAGCGGATGATCGTGAGGCTGATATTCATCCTATTTGCCTGAATTAAGTCATTGAACTGTTTTATTTTCGCTGGTGGGAAAATTGTCCATTCAAAGTGTCAAATTTGAAAATATGCTCAAAATTCAAACAGTCCCCAGTCAGCAGTGAAAGAGCAGCGAGATTACAGCACAGCTGGGTTTACGAGATGCTGTGTGGCGTGTGCTGTGCTGATGTTTCTTCACGTTTTCTAAGTGTGAAGGTTCACATTTGTTTTTTCATACATGTCGCTGTCAGAATCTGAGAAGTTGCAAGTGCAGGTTTGTTATTTTGTTCGCAACTGGTCAGTCACAGCTGCATTCCCCTTTTCAAAATTATCTCTTGAATAGTCCAGATGGCATCAGTGTTAACACCTTTCAAAGTGACAGCAGCCCATTTGCTCCCGTTGCCCTTTCTGAACCTTTAAAATCACATTCACCATCTCTGGATTCCCATGGAAAAAAAAAAAAAGGCAAATAGATTGGCGAATAAATTTCCCCACGTCTCCTAATATCAGAGCCTGTCGCTGGTGTTTCTGCGGCAGGAGTGGGTTGGTGGCTTCACTGATTGTGTTGACAGTGCAGAGACATCATTACACACGGCCGGGGTGTGTGATCTGTCCAGGCTGCCCACCTTCCTCTCCCATTAAGTTCAATCATGCTGGGCGGCCGCAAGTCCAACTAGCTTCTCATCCGTTCCCATTTAACCTCCTCCCCTCCTGTACATACACAATAATCCTTCCTTTGGCACAAACAGAGGAGGCAAAAGGAAAGGGAGAATTCAAATGGAGAAATGCGGTGAAGACACCTCTGTAATATGTTTGTCTTATTTGAAATGGTCATTTTGTATATCGCAGTGTGTGTTTTCATATATGTTAAAAAACGAGCTGTATTGTGACAAGTATAGAGCTTTTCTAAGTAATACCATTGTCTGAACACTGACAAAATCAGTCAGATTAAGTGACACAAGGACAGACTGTTAGATGAATAATGCAGGCTACGAAATGAAAGACAGCTTTGTCTTTTGTAGTCTGTCAGGCAGGAAACCAGGGAGAGCCCTGACTGGCTTTAGGACTGCATGAAGCATCATTCTAACTGCCTATTAGTTTGCCTGGGAGGGAGAAAAAAAAAATGATATTGATTTTTTTTCTCCTTATCATTGGAATTGTCATTTCACGGTGCTGTCGCTGAGGCAGCCTTAGACACGCGGCATCCCAATAAGCTTTTGTTTTTTAGATTGTATAAGGAAAAGTACATTTTCATCTGGTAATGTTCTGAGATAAAGTCCCGCTTCTTATAGGTACCCCTCATTTTGCATCTGCTTCAAATTCATCTCCCGCAGACTGACAGACTGTAGATTTCAGAGAATGAGATATGAAGTGTTTTCATTGTTCGGCCTGAACATTATTCAGTGTTTTGTCTCTGTTGGTAGCTGTGATTAATAGCTGTCACTTCCTGAACTCAGCTTGCATGACAGAGTATCTCGTGACCTTTCCTTGAGGGAAATGGTCTGTAGACGATGCAATATGAAGGTGTCAAAGCAATAATTCAGAAACACAGCCGCACAAACATAAACTAATTAGAAATCACTCAGAGAGAGCATATCTGCCAAAGCTGCACAAACCCTTTGGATTTGTAATGTTAATAACACAAAATGTTAAGACATTTTTAATCTGCACTGGAACTCAAATTCACATCAAATTGCACATACAGTAGAGGTACAGTCATGGGATTCATTTTTCATCCAAGGGTGTGCAGTGATTGACGAACAAATAGAAACAAGACTACAGTCTACAACAGAGGTCACTAATAGGCGGACCTGTAACCTGTAAATTATTGAGCACTATTCAATTTTGACAAAGCGTTTCTGTTTTAACTGGCGCAGCCTTTACGTCACTGGTCATGTGACACTACTCAGCCAATCATTGTGACTCGAGTCAGTGAGGCGAGATTCACAAACCCAGAGAAGAAGCCGTAGAAATAAGTGTGGAAAGTGGGACAGGAAAGAAAAAGAAAGAGAGAAGGATGTGTTAAAGCTGATCATGAGATCGTTAATTGTAAATATGGTTGAGACTGTTGGTTAACTGTTGCAGTTAAACATAAAGAGGAAAAATGGAAAGCGAAGCCACACTTTTTCATTTCATTTTGTAAAATTAAGCTCATTATTATACCTTTTCAAAAGCCCTCATTTATAGTTATTAGGCTTCTTATTACATCTGTTATTTCCCTCGAAAGACCAAAAGAACATAACATTATTATTATATTAATATATAGAGAAGGTATTGTTATTATTTTATAATAATTATTAGATTATACATTTACTGTGAATTTTAACTGAATATCAGTGGTCTTCACCATTACAGTGGTGCTTTGAGCGAAGTGCTAACATGCTCATAGTGACAATGCTAACATTGTTTACTGTGTTCACCATCTTACTTGTTAGCAGTGGTGGAAAGTGACAATACATATACTCAAGCACTGTAACCTACGTACAGTTCTGAGTTAGTTGTTTGTTACTTTCAATTTTATGATATTTTATACCTCTACTCCTCCACATTTATCAGATTTTATAAACCTATTATGAGCTTATGAAACATAATGCATTGTTAGACTGTAGATTAAAACGCCCAACAGTATATAAAATTAGAATATAAAAATTAGCTTTACTCTAGCCAGCTATAACATGCAAAATGCAGCTTAAATGTTATTGCATCCATAATTATGATCCGATAGCATAATATATAACAGTGTAACACTGACAGGTCCCAGTTTGGATGCAAAATGACTATTTTTGCTTTTGTGCTTAACATACATTTGTTCGATAATAGTTGCATATTTTTCTTTTTACTTGTAACTGTTTTTAAATTGTGTTATAAATACTTTTACTTTAGTAAAAGACCCTATTGTGTTTTCTGCTGCTCTGTGTTAGGATGAAACATAATTTCCTTTATTCTTATCTGCACAAAAACACTTGGTCCATGAAATTTGCACCATATTTAATTGAAATCTGTCAACATGTTTTTTTGAGATATCCTGCTAACATTTCCACCAAGTGTTAAGGACATCTGTTCATATGCTTTTTTTCAGATATCCTGCTAGCAGGCTTACAAAATGGACCAAAAACATAACCTCCTTAGTTGAAGTAATAAAACTGAGATGAAATAAAATCCTCTTGCAAATAGCAGAAAATCAATATTCACCACAGTATATCTGCAAGTTTTGCCTAAATTAATGGCAAACAAAATACTTCAATGAAGTCAAATTGATGAAAACTGGGAGCTATGGCTGCTCACAATGTTAAGAAATGTTTCCTTTCTTCACAAACTTGCTCTAAGGGACTATCCAAACATTCATATTTCTATGTTAATAATACTGAACCTTACTCTTATTACTCACCCTTTATCTTCTCAGCGTGATGCTGGCGGACCGATCAAATTGATCTCTGTGAAAAACACTGCGAGCGTGCATCTCCAGGGGACTACTACTGATTGTGTTTGCGTTTTTCCAGATGGTCACTAAACGGAACACTCATTGATCTGGGGAATGACTACCGGCGTCACATGTCTGGGGGCAGCCTGATCATTAGCAACCTGGACAAGGACCAAGACACCGGGGAGTACCAGTGCACGGCCTTCAACACATGGGGCTCCATCCTCAGCCGCAGAGCCAGCCTCCAATTTGCATGTAAGTGATCCTACAATTGCTAACACGTTTCTGGCACCACTCTGACACAGTTATGACATTCTGGCATCTCTTTGTATCTGCCGTATCTCAGCCTGACATGTGTGTAATATGCTTATGGCCCAGGCCTCTTTTTTTTCCATTTATTATTCCAATTTCTCATTTAAATTGCTGGGGAATAGATTTTCGAGAGGGGAAATGGTAATCGAATGAAATGTCAGATGCAACAAACACAGTGGGTGAGGCAGCTTCTGACTGCCTCACAACTCCATTGATTCTCATTAGTGGTTCAAACTCTGACAGCAACTATGTTCAGTCCGAATTGCCTCAATTTTGCTGAGTGATATGCCAGCCCCTGTGATCCAGACTTTGAAGCAGATGAACACAAATAATGCTTAAGAAGTGTTTGTATCTTTGTAATCACCAGCCACTTCTTTATGTATAATATATGTAGCAGATTGTGAGCGGATCAGATGGTGACAGTGCTGTCTGCTGCTCTGCCAGTCCACTGCTTAAAAGACAAAATGCGGGTTGGAAAGTGATACTGTGTAGTGGGGGGTCCTCCCTTTCACACAGGCGATACAGAAGCACCTCCCCTCTCTTGATCAAGCCTGCTGACTATTGATCATGTCCCACGGATAGAGAGCCTCTCACTTCCTTTCAGGAGATGGGTTGCCATTATCCCTATAGCTCTGTAATGAATCTCACTTTTGGGGACCGGGTGAAGAGCAGAGCTGCTTGACATTTATTGTCTTGCCTAAAGCACAGTGAGTGAGGTCTAGAAGATCAGCATGGGTGATACTCTGTTTGTCTGTGTAATGAGACCACTGCCCTAAGATAGAAATGCTGTGCCTTCTTTGCTGATTTTCTGCACCCACTATAAGTTAACACGTCCTGTATACCTGCTTGTTCATGCTATTATCCAATCAGCCAATCACGTGAGAGGGGTTTGTCTGCAGAGAGGGGCGTAGGTTTTCCACGTCACAGAGAACCACATGAGATGTCAAAATGAGATGTTGTTGGCAATATGGTAGATCATGTGAAAATAATGGTAGCTGGACAAAAGAGGACATAAATTACTGCTTTAAGCCCGTTTCTCTATGATTTGATCAATAATTACCACTACTGCACATAAAATATTATAAGATGTATGTCGGTATGTATTACTGTGATAAGCTATCACTTGCCATCCATCCATATTCAACTTTTTATCCGTGTCTGGGTCGCAGGGGCAGCAGTCTATGGAGGGCTGCCCTGACATCCCTCTCCCCCGCCACTATCTCTTTATCTCTTTCGCAGCTAGCCGGCCTACACAGCGGCTAGCTGCAAGTTAGCATGGCTGCCATGCAGTAAAACAGTAGTTTTTTTGCTGATGTCTCTTTTATAACGGTGTTCTGTGACGAAAAGGCTTTTTTCGCCACCGCAGGGGATTTTCTGTTGCAGTACCATGAGTGGCCACTAGGGCAAAGCAAATTAGCTCGAGACTTATCCAGCTCTCATAAAATATCAATGCAGTTTACGGACCGACGGTTGAGGCAGATGGCTTCCCACCCTGAGTCTGGTTCTGCCTCTTAAAAGGAAGTTTCTCCTCACTACTCTCGCCAAGTGCTTGCTCATGGTGGGAATTGTTGGGTCTCTGTAATCAATATTGTAAAGAGTACGGTCTACACCTGCTCTAATTAAAAAGTACCTTGAGATAACTTCTGTGGTAATTTGGCGCTATATTAGATAGTGCACTACACTGAATAGGTAGATGCCCGAACAGAACTAAAAGGAGAATCTGAAAGTTGGACTTGAAACATGACTAAATGACATGTGGCTTCAGACCTGACTAAATGTATGCTTATATTGCTACATGTCTGCTGTAAATAGGCGACTATTGGCAAATACCATATCACCATAGTGTTACCATAAGTGGCAGAAACCATGCCTTTGCAGTCATTGTTCCTGTCACTTATGGTAACACTGTAATCAGAAAAATAAAACCCAAGTTCTAACAAATGAGATCTTTGGTTTAAAGCTATCAACCATACATCGAGAGGTCTGTGTTGTGATCCCTCTGGAGCAGGTAAAAGTAGCTTTAATCTAGAAATCTGCTGGACACAAAATATAACAGGAAATGCCTCCACAGCGGTGCCACTGCCTAGACCAATCATCTTCGAACTGTAATGGTCACTCTGTGTAATCGTAGGGCCAGCCATTCTTATATGGCAGAGACTGATTCTGCTTACAATGGAATCACTGCAGCTACAGTGAGTTTGGCCTCTAGCTCTCAGAGTTACAGTGTGTGGTCAGTTCACTCCAGTGAAGCCCATTATTCTTCTGCACAGAGGCCAGAGAAAAGAGAGGTGTCTCCCCTCCAGCACAGAGCCCCGCTACGTCTCTAACCTTCTCTGTGCTTCTTTGCACGATCTGGGTGAAGGAGTCATCCTTTCCTCGTCCACTAAGTAATTAATAGTAGCTCTCTGATTCACCTCCCGCTGTTTCCGAAAGCGTTGCTGTTATAATTATCAACCGCTAGTTATGCCGGGCTTTTTCAATCAGCCGGGAATGTGAATCTCGCTCCTCAGAATCATAAATGTCTCTAGGAGATGGACTCTGTATTTACTAAGGCAGCATGGTGAGATCAGAAGGACATCGCCTCTGTCTGTATTTCAAGTCAGCCATCTTCTCCTGTGGCCTCCTCGGTGTCCTGCCGTGACTTGGCTCTGTTTGATTCCACTGCGGTCATCAGAGAGCTGCTCATTAATCTTACCAACACTCTGTCCCACTTCTCTCCATAATCTTCCTTCTCCTAATTTCCCTTATCGGTCACACTGACTTTCTTTTGTTTGTGTTTGGAAGGCTTACTCTAGGCTGTTAGCCAGAGGGTGCAGACAGAGTGCAGAGCGTACTGCGGCAGCTTCCCTCCATCAGTCATGAAGCCAAGGATGGTTTATCATCCCAGGTTTAGGTTTTTTTTCTTGCCAGCAACTGTTCATTCATTTGCAGGCGGATAGATTGTGCTGAGAGTATTGATGGGGAAGCTAATGCTTTTAAGTGCAAGATTACACCACATTTAATAATGATGTTACTTATTGCTGCTGGCACTGCAAACTGTCATTTGTCATGCACACTCCCCCGTGTTTGTTCAGTCCGTGCACAGCGTTTCCTTCCCCCCGCCCGTGCTCATTTTATCCCATTTTCAGCCTAATCTCTTCCTTGTCTTGAGCGTAGTGTTGCAGGGTAAACGTCACAGAGTCAGGTCCATCTATTTTATCAGCACCCCGGATGCCTTTGAAAGTGTTGGAGGCTATCCGGAGGTGTCCCAGGGCAATCAATGATGCCCTATTAAAGCCCCAGTGCTCAAAATGTAACATCAAAAACATGTCTCAGTGAATCAGTGTGGGGAATTTGGGAAAATGTATGTCCCCTATTTTCAGAGCTATCTTTTTCAAAGAAACCCTTGGCAATATAGACTATTTAAAAAATACACTTTTAACTGTCTGCTACTTTTTTGAGCTGCAGTTTAATTCTTAATTTCCGTTTTTTTTACTCATCAGATCTTGACAACTTCAAAACCCAAACGGTGAGGAGTGCTGTCAACGTCCGTGAGGGCCAAGGAGTGGTTCTGTTATGTGGACCACCTGCACATTCTGGAGGTAAGTTTGCTAGATGCCACTTTTGTGCCTCTGCCTCTCGTTTCTTATTTAGACATGACTCATAGGAATTACTCACTCCACATGGCAACCTTTGATAACGGATTACTCCCTTACTCCAAACTTAATCGGTTTTTACACCCATTTATGTGTACACATGCTCTTAATAATCCTTGCCTTATGTTGTTTATACAGAATGCGACATAGTCAATCCTCACTTGGGTGTTTTTTTTTTATTCTGACAATATTTCTAATAAATGCAATGCGTATTTTGGTAAATGGGCTATTTGCTTTCTTGTTGAGAAATAGATAAGAAGATTTATAACACTCTCTAACTAAGCTTAGCATAAAGATGGAAACAGCGGGAAAACAACTATCTTATACCAGCGCCTCTAAAACTCACCAATTAACATGGTATATTTCATCAGCTTATTCCATAGGAAAAAGGTAAAAATGTGTAAAAGCAACAAGTTGTGGTGTCACGGGGCACTATATGCTGTACGCTAATAGGCTGATTTTGTTACATTTGGACACTAGCTGTTTCAGTCTTTATGCTAAGCTAACCAGCTGCTGTAACTGTGTATCTATACAACCCAACACATTCAAAAAAGTAAACTTTTCGGTATGTAAAACAAAACTGTTCCAGAGGAAAAGAGGACAAATAGAATTACCACCTCACAGTTGTATGCCTCCACCAACAAGTCAAGTTGCTGGAAATATGGTCACAATCTCCCCTTCCTGAGTTACAATGTTGAATGATAGCCATATGTGTTTTTGCAGAACATTATGAAGTCACAGTGAAGTTGACCTTTGAGCATTTGGATGTAAAATGTCATCCCTTCATTATTTTATACATTTGTGTTAAATTGTGTCATAATTAGCGATTGAAATCCTGAGTCATGACCAAAAAAATCACAGTTACCAAATTAATGTTTTTGCCAAATCTAAAAAGAAGATTTTGAGATATTAAATTCAAGAGGTCATAGATGTGAGGTCACCGTGACCTTTGACCGCCAAAATCTAATCAGTTTATTTTTAGTACAAACGAACATTTGTGGCAAATTTGAAGGGATTCCCGTGAGGAGTTCCCGAGATATTGTGTTCACACAGCCAAAACCGTGTTTTGTGAGGTCATCGTGACCCTTGACCTTTGACCACCAAAATCTAAACAGTTCATCTTTGAGTCCAAGTCAATGGTTGTGCCAAATTTGAAGTAATTCCCTCAAGGGGTTCCAGAGATATCGCGTTCAAGAGAATGGGACGGACGAACGTATGGATGAACGTATCGGCGGACAGACATATGGACGGAGGGTTAGATGGAAAAAATAGAATTCCTCCGGCCCTGGCTGTCGCCGGCATGGAGGCATAGCAAAGTATTTTATAAATGAGAGGCTACAAATAGTAGATAAAGACGCCGACTGCTCAGCCGCACCACCCTGCAGAAAACTGAGAACATGGACAATGGCTGCTGCCTACCTTGTCTCCCTCTTGATACAGTAGCCTTCACATTGGAACAACCAATTTCCTTCACAAGAGAACAGTTTGTAGCACAGTGCATTGTACAGCTGGTCTACGGGATAATGGGTCAGAGTACTCTGTGTGAAATACAGTTTGACAGCTTTCCTCTCTAACATAGGCTTATACGCGGTTGGCTGCTGTAACCGTAGCACTATTGTGTTTTCTCACATTTTCTGAAGTGAATGAAAGTAAAGCAGTATGAGCCCGCTGTCCCTTTCTTCCTTTCCTGTCCTGTTGCTCCCTCTCTAAATCTCCTTCTTTCTCTCTTTTCTGTCTTTTACTCCCCCTCTTTTTCATTTTCACTCTTGAATTTTAAAAGTATTGTTGTGCTACGTAACCTTGAATTCAAATCAACTTTATGTAACATAATAAGGCATCCATTCTGGTTTTCATTGAGCTTCCTTGAGCCTGAATGCTGCAAAAGCTTTCTCCTCTACTACCATATTCATTGTCCCATCTCTCAAATATGACAAATTAAATATAATATCGTCACAATTAATTGTTAATGTGTGACTTTTGTACTCCAACATAGGCATATGTTTACTCAATGGGCTTTATTGTGCTGCATAGGTCACTTTTTCTGTTGCATAAAGGCCCTTGTGTTGTATTCCCACTCCTTCCTTGACTTACAATTTCTTGGCAATATTCTGTCCCTTCCCAATACAGCCACATAGTTCAGATGGAGGTTATGCTGACTCTGAACTGTGGGGCCTAATCAGAGAGAGTTTTGCATTTGCGTCACTGCACCGGGCTAGGACACTCGATCCCATCCGAAGCCGAGAGGCTCGCTCCCTAAAGGGGCGTGGGATATGCTTGACAGTCATTGCATACACCTTTTGACTCCCCCTCACCTCCGAAGTGGTAGATTACATAGAGCATCTCCTCAGTCTTGCAAGTCCGGACAGTGTGCACTTTTCAGATTGACACAGTAATTCATCATGGCAGGTCTCTACTTTCCTATGATAAACCAGCTGCTTGTGAGGGGGCATGACAATGTATTCTTATTTCTTTATGTCAATCTGTCCATCCCTTCCTCCATTTGTGCCTCCCATGAACAAAGTCACTCAGGGACCCGGGGAAAGGAGGCCATGCGTCAGGGGAGGGCCACTGACGCACTGTAATCCATTTTGTTTCGCTCCCTTTCCTTAGGTCTCCCATTTCTTCTGCACTGATAGCTGTTGCATTTGCCATGTTTTGGTATCTCTTCCCAAGGAAACTGTGATAAGGGAGAGGAAAATGACATGCTAACATTTTTAGGCCACAGTGGAATATGTTTCACTTCAGCTGTCCCAGCAAAGTCATGACGTAGATTGAACATGTGTTGAGTCAGTCAGGCTTTCAACAAGTAGTGATAGTAAATCATTAACAACAATAATGATTGTTTTGTTTTCCTCTCCAGAGCTGGCATTTGCATGGATCTTCAATGAATACCCATACTTCGTCCAACAAGACAGTCGTCGGTTCATCTCTCAGGAGACAGGGAGTCTGTATATCGCTAAGGTGGAGCCCTCAGATGTGGGAAACTATACCTGTGTGGTGAACAACACCGTCACGAGGGAGAAGGTGCTCAGCTCTCCAACACCACTGGTCCTCAGAAGTGACGGTAAATGTTATATACCTTTACTTTGTACCCCGCATCTTCATTCTTCCATCCTCTAATGTTCTGTCAATTGCTCATGATATTTTTGGCTTTGGGCTTCATTCAAGTTTAATATAGATTCAACACTAATCATTTAAAGGTACCATATTTTACAGTTCTCCTGTGTTTTATTTAGTGTTGATCCATAAGAAGATATATTTGTGGATTTAAGAACCAAAAACCATCTCAATGTAGTTTTACATCTCCTCTCTCAGGCTTCTCTCTGGAGCTCTAGTAACAACAGGTCGGTGAGCCAATCAGAAGAGAGGAGGCTCTGAGCCTCTCTTGTGATTGGCTGACTGTTTTCTGAGTGATTGAATAAAACCATAGCAGATTTCAGGTAAACACTAACAAAAACCAAATCCTGCAAGGTTGGGTGGTGGGTCTGGCAGGGCTGGGTTTGGGTCGGGCTGAGAGAGGTGACTGCTATGTTATGACATCACAAAGTTACAGAAATGATGACAGCTCGTTTTAAGGTTCAGTTTCTGAATACAGGCTGTGTGCATTTCTCTGTGGACTGATTGATTTGATACTTTCACTGTATTAATATAAAACTTGAACTTGTTTTATAATCAAAAAAGATATTGGAATGTCACTATCTACAATACCGGACTTTAAATAAATGTTATAATGGTATTGGGAATAATACATGTTTATTAAATCTTCATGTCAGCTAATACCCATCTGTGGGTGTGGGTAAGCATCATTGGTGTTTCATCCTGGTTAAAACTAGGCTAAATTTGGCTGAAATTTGGTTTACATATTGTTATGATAACATCATAGTTGTTTAATTTTGCCATGGTGATTTAAATTGTGATTATTTTCATTTAAGTTACAGGCCTGTATTTGTGGGCCACATATGATTTCACTAAACACAATCATACCTTGTTTCCACATGTATAAAATCTGATGAAATAATACAGATGACAGATGTTGTTGAGAGTTCAAACCAATCAGTCAGAGAGAAGTACCCTCTTCAGTAAACTTATTTAGTCTTGAATAGAAAAACTGACCACTTTAGCTGTATATATAAAAATGTAAAAATGTAAAGCTGGTGTTACATTCATAGATATCAGCTTCATAGTTTGTCAGTTATGGCAATAATAAATAAAAAAAAGTCACATCTGACAATGTTTGATGACACCTAATGCCACTGTTGACAGGTCTGTACTTAAGCTGTTTGAGCTAACGCTAATGTTAGCTCCACAGACTGACAGGAAAGAGTGCTTCATACTGGAGGTCTCAGTCTCAGATGATATGATGCTCTTAAAAGTTAAACTGGTGCATTCTGACAACTCTGTTCACCAGCTGTCTGTCACTCACATTTTACAACTACTGAGCTAACTGCTAGCTACCTGTCTGATACTGACGTGAGACAATGACCTAGATTGTTTATATAGAAAAAAACTTGCCACTCTGTTTATCTTTTATAAACAGTAAAAACACACAACCAAGTCCATATCCTTTTTTACAAATGACAGATTGGCGTTTCTTCTTTCACAAAAAAAGTGATGTTAATACAGCTGAGTACATTTACCAGTGGAAATTGTCATTATAGACAGAGAAAAATCAACAGTTGCTGGTTTAACCTTTAATTTGCAACATGTGAAGACCCAGTGCAAAAAAAGTTCCTGCTCTTGGAAATTGCTCTCTCTTAAATCGCAGTTTCAGTATCAAAAGAGTTAATTAGTACGCTACGTTTCACAGATGTTTGAGCAACGTTTCACTGAATATATTTCAAAAAGATTGGAGAGCCTGTTTCAGATATACACTCAATATACACAATTCTGTTGAAAAAACCCAACTTTTTATGACGTAAAAAATCACCAGAATAATACTTAGATATCGAAATCTTCAGTCGGCACTGTAATGGGTTTGTGGCAACACTTTCTATAAGGCAGCCTTTATAAAGGGTTTGTGAGTTTTAACTATTAGCTTAAAAATATTATTGTTTTAACATTTAGGGAATTTAACAGAAAAGTTACATTCTATTCTTCAGAGTACCTTTGGGGTTACCAGGTTGTGAATCATCTCTTCCTGCTTGGTAAAGTGAAAATGTTGTTGATCTCTGTGTTGTGTTGATGGAGACCCAACTCCATATTCTGTGTGTCTTCCACGCTGATACAGCTTTTATAAGTCTTCAGTGACTCTTATTCTGAAAACATCCACAGGACCCCGAGTGAGCTCTTGCTGCCAGACTGTGGGGTTGTAATTGGTAATAGTAAAGGGCATACTACTATCTCTGCGAAGAAGTCTTTGACCCCTTCTAGTGATGTGAATATAAATAAAGTCATAAATGAAGTCGAATTGCCACAGGTGATAAATCTCCACTCAGCAAGACTTTCCCCTGATGTGTTCACTGAATCTTTTATAAGACACCTCTAATTTTTTTTTCCTCTTTACCTGCCCTTCAGTGGTCACTTTTGCTCCGTGCGCATAAAGACTTTTGTGTTAGCCGTCCCATTGTGTTACTGCTCCCTCTTTGATCCAGTGCATGTGTAATGTCTGCTGTTAATCACTGATGTAAAAAGCTTGTCGTCTATTGTCTCCTTTTTGTAGGAGTAATGGGTGAATATGAACCCAAAATAGAAGTTCATTTCCCTGATTCGGTTCCAGCTGCGAAGGAGTCGGTAGTGAAACTGGAATGCTTCGCTCTGGGAAAGTAAGTCAGCCCTATTGTGTTCGTGTGACATAAGCTGTAGGCTCATTCATGCATGAATTAGTGCTACTCAAAATGATTTAAGGATGCACAAGCGTAACATTACTCATTCTCAGATTCATCAATCCACAGTAGAGCGAGGGGCCGCCACATGAAAAGACAAGGGAGCAGAAATCAGAGTTTCTTTTAAGAGCTTCTGAAATCTGAGCGATCACAGTTTGATTTGTAGGGAACAATAATTCCCAAGGCTTTTGCTTCAACTACTTTTCTTCTGTACTTAATCACACTTTGATCACAGAGACTGACAGTTGCCATCACGGGAACTTTTTGTTCCTCTTTTGTAGCCCCGTCCCAGAAATCAGCTGGAGGAGAACCAGCGGCGTCCCTTTCCCCAACAAAGTCAAAATGAAGAATTCAAACGGCGTCCTTGAAATCCCTAATTTCCAGCAGGAAGACGCGGGGACGTACGAATGTACGGCGGAGAATCGGCGAGGCAAAAATGCTGCGCGGGGTCGTATTTCATTCCATGGTAAGTGAACCGTTTCAAATTGAATGACAGTGAATGCATGAAGATGCAGAAATGAAAGTGCGCCTGTTACAGATAGACACATTTGAACAGGAAACATGCATGGGACCAGCAGTTTGAATCTCATTTGTTGGACAGAAAACCCATTTGTCTACAGCGTGAGGGGCATAATGAAATTGCAGGATGAAGCTATTGATTCTGCCTGTAAAAGTGAATATTATTTTATAGGATTTTCCAGTCAATAATCAAACCTGTTTACAAACCTGTGTTTTTCATTATGTTTATAATCTACTTGTCAAGTTTAAACTGATTTAATGCAAGGCTGCTTTAACTGCTTTATGATTTCTGACACCACTCCTTACTAATCCACTACTTCTATAATTAAAACACATGTTTGAAAAGGTAATCCTCTCATTTTTTCCAAGCTAAACCTCACTGGCTCCAGACAATGACGGACACGGCTTTGTCCATCGAGGAAAATCTCTTCTGGGAGTGTAAGGCCAATGGAAAGCCTAAACCGTCCTACAGCTGGCTGAAAAATGGGGAGCAAGTGATGGCAGAGGTATGGAGATCTGTTCAGTTTCCCACTGTAATACAGACCGGTGATGAGTTAAAACCTGAGTAAATGTGCTTAGAAGCATACTGAATGCAGACCAATGTGGTTTAATGAGTATGAGAATGGTGTTCCCGTAAGTGTTCCCGTTATCTTGACTCTCCACCATTGTAATCGGCTTTCATTTTTAAATCACTTGCAAGGCACTGACTAGCTACTGCATTTACACCTGGTTGAGATCCAATCAGAGTGTGGAACTAGACCACCTCCAGATATGGTCTGGCTGATCTGGTGACAGTCTTATCACAGTGTGTTTTGTGGGCATTTACATTGTATACATTATAATAAGCATTTTTTTTTGGTTATCTAGGGAAGACATCCAGGTACAGACTGCAAGTTAGGGCCAGATGTAAATGGGATCTTACTGTGTGTTCAGACTTTTAACTGTAAATAAAGATGGACGCAGCCTCTGTGACATCAGCCATAGGTTTCTGCTAATTGAAGAACGGGCAAAGAGGTGGGACGTGTGTGGAGCCGAGACTTGCCAGTGTGTGCCGGTTTGTGGCAAGCATGCGTTCACCCACCTGTTGCTCAAAGCAGCACGCCCTCAATTATGCAAAACATTAAGTCTTAACAAAATTTAAACAGGCAAGTTATATAAAAATTCACCCCCTGTTCAGATGTCATGAAGGAGGAAATTAGCTATAGAGACCAAAACCGTTTTTGTTCCAGGCTGTAAACATGTTTATTTCTGTTGTAAAATTGTGCATTTTAACATGGGAGTCTATGGGGATTTACTCACTTTTGGAGCCAGACTGGAGTCTTTTGAGAAACTGCAGTTTTTGTCACTTTTTTTTTTTGGGGCATTTTTGCCTTTATTGTGATAGCACAGTGAGAGACAGACAGGAAAGTCAGGCAGAGAGAGAAGGGATGAAATGCAGCAAAGGGCCGCGGGCTGGATTTGAACCAGTGGCCACTGTAGTTAGGACTAAGCCTATGTGGTACGCACTCTACCAGGTGAGCCAGCGAGGCGCCCCAGTTTTTGTCACTTATGTGTTGGCTTCATTTTTCAGCCCTGGAGGTTGCCATTTGGTTCAGAACGAATGCCAGGTGTAATTTAGAGGCAGCACGATTGTATTCAAAGTCCATGGAAAGACGCAGTCAGATGCAAATTTGAGTGCCTGAGCTGAAAATGTTTGAACTTGAACAAAAAATCTGCATAAATCCTGAGGATTTATGAATCTATTTGATAAATGCAGAGAGACATGAGTGCAGAGTTCAGTCAACACTACACAGACACTGTTGGTGTGTAATGTTCCTAGCTAGCTTATGGCTTACATGAACTTGTTTGAAACGCTAATGGTCTAGTGGTCATATTTCTATAAATAATGTGTAATGTCTTAATTTCTTTTTGACACAGGCTTTTGCTGTCCTTTTCTCAGACTTCCCTTTCTCTCTTTTCAGCCAGAAGATAATGTTTGATTGTTTTCATTCCTCACTTCTAAACAGACCTTAAGTGTAAAAACCGGGTGTCCCTTTAAAATAGCAAACAACAAAACAAGTGCTTACATTTAATTTGTTGCCAAATTCAAACTTGACTTGGGTCACTCTGAAGGTGGTTTTGTGGTAACTGTGTAAATCACCGGTATATTCAATTTGACTCTGGCCAAGCCCTCTATTTGCATCTATAATTCAGACAGCACTGTAAGAAGCCACTCCCCCTGCAGCAGAGAGGATCTCTAACTAGCTCATTGGGCTAAAAATCTTAGTCTTGAGTCATCATCCCGGCTATCATTACAGGTTTTCCGGCTGAACAACCACAGAAAATAAATGACTTTTTAATATGCTGCTGGTGCTGTTTTCAACATTGCTTCTTTTCTGCGTATCTAAGATGCAGGTTAGCGGCTTTAGCCACTCACCCTTGCTCCCCATCTCCTCCCCCTATTTCCAAGCTGAACATACGCAAAATGCCACGAGGCTCTATAGGCTCCTTTTCTTTTCTCCTCTCCTGCTGTCCTCCTCCCTTCATGGTGCCCCGGTAATTGCTGCTGTGCCTTTGGACATAATAGACTGGCCTTGCAATGGATATGCATAACTGTTTTCTCTCTCCTCCTCAGGGCCGGGTACAAATCGAAAACGGGGCCCTTTCTATAGCTGCGTTAAACCTGTCAGATTCCGGGATGTATCAGTGTGTGGCTGAAAACAAACATGGCATTATTTATTCCAGTGCCCAACTAATGGTGTTAGGTAAGCTTGCCTCCCTCCCTCTGCTTTTATCCTGCTTATCTGTCTCTGCGTTTGATCATCTCCTAAGATAAAAACCAGCAGCCTGCTACAGCTCTCCTCAGCAATCAGTCTGCAGACTCATTTGATGTCACTATGGGCTCTGCTAGCAAAAAATATGAATCTGATGGAGTGTCTCATTTTACTTTGAGTCGTTTCATCATATTGATTTCGATACTACAAACGCATTGCTTTGTGGCATTATGCGTGCTTTCTCATGTAGATGGGGTATTGATTTATTTGTGAAGCTTTGATGACTTCCATCTGACTAAGACTCCAGAAATTCAACATGTGATGAAACTTGGGTCCAAATGGTGGTTGACAAAATGTGATGATGAGCGTGGATAACGGCTGCAGCCTCTGCAGGATGAAGGTGATCAGGGTGGATTTTATGGTCGAAGGGTAGGGTGGCAGGTGGGTGCAGTGACTTTGGCCCATAGGCTTTTCATGCTGTGTTCACGCTGAGACAGCATGGCTGATCTGCATAGGTTTAGCTTGCTTATGTTTTTTTAATTTCACACCCTTTCTCTGCTCTCTCACAAACAGCTTCACCTCCCAGTTTCTCCAAAAGTCCGTTAAGGGCCCTGCTAAAAGCTCGCTCAGGCAGCGAAGTCACTCTTGAATGCAAGCCTCAGGCCTCGCCCCCAGCAATTAGCCTGTGGAAGAAAGGGAATGAGATCCTGCAGAGGACTGAAAGGTAGGATAAAAGTCCAAGTGCATATTCCGAGCAGGTTTCGTTCACAGTCACTGCAGGCCGACTTGTTTTTATAGTGTATTTGGCATTTGTGTAGATGCATGGAAGGAAAGGCTAATGAGGAGAAGGAGAGCAGGGCACCCACCACGAAAACTGCACATGGCTAATGAACTATGCGCACCGTCATGTGCAAATAGCTTGGCGTGAGGGATGAAGATGCTAGCTGGTGGTATCAACAGTGCATGCATGAAATATTTAAGAAGATAAAAAATTAGCAAATGGAGTCACTGCTGAAGATAAAAGTATATCTGCCTTCAGATAAAAGAAGTAAAACAGAAGCAGTTGCACTTGTAATTACCTGAGGTAAAAATGTTGTACTTTATCATGACATACGAATACAACTTGATTCATGCAATCACTAAAGCTGCAAAAACAAAAGCCTTGTTGCAGATTTGAGACTAAGAGAAATCTCACTAGATGAGAAACTCCACACACAGACATGATGCCAACAACGAGCAAACTTAAAGCACCACTTAAAGCGAGATAAAAGTGGTGCTTGATTTAGTTTGTTGTCCATCTCAAGTCTGATTTTTTATTGAAGCCACCAGGAGATGAATTTGAGCTACTGAATAGATTTCAAACAATACTAAACAACTAATTAAAGGTGGAAAAAACCAAAAGCAAATCAGAGGCAAGAAATGACACATTTGAGCAATTTGCACACTTTTCATCATCCTGATTGGAGGGAGAAGAAAAGCTTTGATGGTGACTGAACCTTGCTGCAAGTTAGCACGCACACATTGAAAATTTGTCACTCACACACAAAAAAACACACAGGCAGGACAGACAGAATAAAAACAAACCAAACACACGCATCCTAGCGCACTGTAGAAATGCTTTACTTTGTGCTTTTTGAATCATTTCTATGCTGCTTATTCAAAAGGAGGTCTGAAAGAGAACAATGTGAGCAAAGCATCTTGTCAAAACAGCACAGAGGCTCTTTAGTTGGCTCCAGATGGGGAGTTGCAGCTATGGCTGCAGAAAATTGGTAAAATTCCCAAGCTGAATGACATTTAGCACACTGTATGTGAAGCCCACATACCCTTTCAAGGTGCACAACACTGGATGTATGAGGACACTGGATGGGGAATGTTTTCTCCTATATGCAGTCACGCTGTAAATTGGAGCAGTGTTTAGAAAATGAACTGAGTACACATTTTGTCACTAAATACCAAATCAGTTAAAGGTAGCTTCAGTCAAATTATGAAGTACATATTTTGACAATTACCCCATCGTGGTTTCTATCCATGCAGAGAGCTTTAGCTTAATTTAGAGATATCAATCTCTGAAATAAATGCCTCCGCCCCACTGTCCCTTGTTACCCTGGATAATCTACAGAACACACTGTCAGCAGTTTTTATCTGGACTATTTCTTTGGTAGAAAATGGCTCCAACAAAAACAGTGTTTACAGTGAGGTCTATGATTTATCCAGACGTTGCTTCTGGAAGACACATTGCTGTTGACGTTTTTTTCTATGTAGTTTTTCAATTCTTTTGAGCGCCACAAACAAAATTCTATTCACCATCGTTCCCCTGGGGGTTGGAAGCTGAGCGCTCTGAGGCAGATACCTTTGTCCAAAACCTGGGACAAATAAAATACAAAATATCTGCAAGGCTTTAGGTGACTCAACAATTTAGTGGGTCAAAATCTGAGGTTTGTTTTCAGAAAATGGCTATTTCTAAGCAAAACATCACAGTATTACATAAGAGGTAACTATGTGGTACATGATGACATATTTTTTTGTTGTTTCTTATAGGTTAGTAGGAACTTTAGAGTGCACTGTTTTCTGGGACACTATGTGTGCTTATGCAGCACTGTATTATATTATGTATTATAGCATGTCCTGGGCTTATCCAGCCAGTGAGTGACCACCCCCAGCATGATAGAGGTTCCTCTCTGACCTTAGCAGCATAAAGCCTGTAAAGCACATTTTATTTATTCATTGAATTATTCAGCATTTCTGTTTGTAAAGTATTTCTTTATTCAGTAATGTGTCCATGAGTTTAGCTTACCACTGAGTCAGGGTGATGGGTCACCCTACCTGCTGCTAACCCGCCTCAAAGAATTTCATTTTTCTAGGCTTTAGGGGAAAGCTTTAAAGTACCAGGGTCAAAGTGCTTTTTGAGTGGCTTTTCCATTTTAACAAGAGTGTGATTCCGGTAGAAACACCATACATTAAGCTTAGGCTACTACATGGAAACTAATAACAATTACATTAAAAAAAAAAACGTTAAGATAATGAATAACACCACAAAATAATGACTACAGTCAGCACCACAAAGCTCAGCACTTCAGTCTATCTGTACTCTCTGCACCTTTGTCAGTACAGTAAAAAGCTGTTCTCCTACCCTCAGGATTACTTTGCTTTCCAATGGAACATTAAAGATTGCCAACGTAACCAGACGGGATGCAGCCACCTACACGTGCATCGCTAAGAACCAGTTTGGGACAGCAAGCACAACTGGGAGGCTGCTTATCACCGGTGAGTCCTGCTCTTCTCCATCAACAACATCCAAGAAAGGAAATTCACTCTCACTAAGTTCTGCCTCCCCCTTGTTTATTATTATATTATGCCTGTTATGCTATGTCTGTCAAACTTTTCATGCTACTGCACATATATAGTATCCGCTGATAATGGTGGTAGATTTGCCTCTCAAGTTTTGTTGAAATGTTTGAAACAATGGGTTTAACAGAAGAAAAGAAAAGCAGATTCTCATTTCTAACTGGCAGCTGTTGATTTGGATGCCTGTCATTAACAGATTTTGTTAGCTGTAGCTAGCCTGCTAACTAACTTGGTAAAACTCCTTCTCTTGCTTACTTCTTAAAGGAGCTATTTGCAAGTTTTGCTAATGCTACATAGCCAGCGTTACAGTTAGCAGCTGTCTATGTACCAGTCTAGAAGAAACGTTGTGAGTTCAGCATCAAACTTCATTCCTTTACTCGCCAAGAGCTGTCTCCAGCGGTGGAAAGCAATTCCAATTTTGAGTCTTGTGTCCATTACGTCTTTTCTTCTACTGTATTTAGCATGCTAACCAGCTAGCCCCAGCCCGTCTCATCATTTTCTGATGGCAAATTAGTGTAGCCTCCAATCTGCCCTGAAGATGTAGCGTTGCTCAGAGGGTGTATTATAACCTCTTGTCTTGTAAACGCAACAATGGCTGAGTGACAGCCACTACAACCTGCTCCAGCAAGAAACCATGTTTGACATTTTAGACCCCTTTAGTGACTTGCTGCGCACTGCTTGTGAGAAAAAATAAGAAAGATATTCTGTCTAACTTTCTCTCTGAGTGATCAGTTTACATTCAAAGCACAGTATGGGGATTTTGTCAGTCAAAGTCATGGTTATAAAATCAGGATTTTAGCAGTACAGAGCAGCAGCATGGAAATGGCTTGGAAGTGACTGCTGGTTAACATGTAGTCTTAATGGGCTGTGTTTGAGTCACTATTTCATACTTGTTCTGCTGTCTGAAAACAAAAACAGAAAAATATGTAAATGAGAACAGCTTTATTGGGAATTTGGCTGTATTAAAATGCTGTATATGTGAGCTCAGAGAATAGGAGAGAAGCAAGCAGATACAAAGTGCCGACACCATCTGACACTAGACAAAATGCAAATACGACACAATTATGACACAAATATACCAATTAGCGCATTGCGTCATATAGCGACATTTAACAACTTGTTGAGCAGGCTTTAGCTACTTTCCATTGAAAGTAGTTGGCAGAAGGCTAATGTAGCTTAGCACAAAGATTGGAAACTGGGAAATGGTCAAATTCCCTTTCAGTTCTTTCAAAATTAAGGTAAAAACAACTCTCGTTGATGTATGGCTTGAGAATAGCTTCATTCATATTGTTTTATATGCAAGTGATATTGCATGTGGCACACTAACAGCCAAGTTTATAGTCAAATTAATATGGCTGGTATACATTATGCAAAATAGCTGTTAAGCAAGCAACAAAGCATTATCCTTGATTTAGTTAAAGGTCATTATTTATGAATGCAGTGACATAACATATTCATGTAGTCCTCCGGTTTAATCTGTTGTGTGTGTAGCCACCTGACTTATTTTTCTTATTAGCTTCTATTCTTCTCACACACTGACAGCTGAACCATTTAATGTCATAGAATTTAATTACTGTGACCTTTCATATACATACTGAGAGGCCTCCAATCCACCACAGTCACCAGTGGGAATGTGCTCCCATCTCTATAATCCCGTTTCAAACATTTTCTTCCAAATTGATCCTGGAACATAAAGTGCAAACCGGAGATGTCATTAAATGTTGCTAATGGACAGGCTTGGAATTTAAGTGCTTATTAAAAATCAGGAAAAGCACACATCCATGGGTAATTTAATGATGGTGGCTTGATTTATCCGTGAATTGGAGTGAGGTGGCAGTTGCAGAGGTCACGGTGGTGTTAAAGGTTCCCGTGGCAGGGATATTAACATGCATACACTGTCGTCTGTTGTCTGGCCAGAGCCCACCAGAATCACCATGAGGCCTACTAACATGGAGATTATTGTTGGCGAGAGCATCGTGCTACCCTGCCAGATTGCCTGCGATCCAGCTCTGGATGTCTCTTTCTCGTGGGCATTCAACGGCCAGCTCATCGACTTCCAGCGAGACAGCAATCATTTTGAAAGAGTGGGCGGGGTGAGTCATCTCAAGCATTAAACTCAACTACTTTCTGGCTGTTCTGGGATTAATTGGGACATACTGTGTGGTGTGCAAGGGTATGCTCTACTGCCCTGCCGAGGGCTTCTCAGACACCAATAACACCCAAGCAGGGAAATTTATGACTCATCCATTTTGAAAGTTTCCCTGTGGTCAGTGGCGAACAGCGTATCAAAAATACAAGAGATATCTATTAAGAATCACTTACATTCTTTCATTCATACGCCGTAAAACCCTCAATGGATGGCACTATCAGGTCAGTAATCGGTATCCTTACCTTTTGAACTGGCTGTGTGAGCTGCCATGTGTAACACTTCTAAAAATATATTAGTGAAATGCCATTTCAGTCATACAGAGGGTCCTCATTAATAAAGTCTTTATACTTTTCATCCCTTCAGCTTCTAATTCTCGTACCTCAAGGGAGAACATTTTCTTATCATCTCTCTCTTCCATAATTGAATTTGCATACCTATTTATGAATCTTGAGCCCCAAAATAATTAAGTAATGAGCTGGCTGGCATTCACCAAGGGCAGGCCTGGCACGAGTTAATGTTCATTTGAAATCCTTATGTCTTGAAATAATGATAAGTGATGACTCTTTGTTGAATATTTGTTCCTTTTGATGAAGGGCAAAGCTAATTGTTCAGAGCTTGTCAGTATTAAATTACTTCACACAATCTTTTTGCTTTTTTATAGTGTAATTTATCATCCAAGGTCAGCAGTCTAATCACTGCGATTCACATGTTAAAGGTTGGCATCATATCTGAATGCCCTCACCGTGTTGTGGACATGCCAAATTCATATGTTCATAAATGCAAATAGCAATTACTATTGACATTGAACTGTGTGTGGGCATAAAATGAGATATAGTTTTCACAGAATCTGTTTCCCCCTGTCCAAAGAGATTACCAGCCCCCTGATCAACAGCTTCTGATGAATTAATTAACATAATTAAGGCAAATATGCCTCATCACTTCCTTCCTGCCAAGCCAGGACGCCTTGCTTTCAAATGCGAGCTCCCAGGTCGGCCAGGTGGCGGCTGACACTGGAGAAAAAAATCAGTCGTGGCGGGCAGCGGGCAAAAAACTGTCTGGTGAAAGGAGAGGAGATGAAAGGAAGGGAGGGGGGAGAGAAAGGATAGGAAGCGAGTTAGTCTCTTTACCCCATGGCCGCAGAGAAGTGCCATTCAGCTCAGCTCTGCTTTGTCAAGTGCTTCAGAGAGGTGGAGATCTACGGGCGTTCATGTCCAACCACTGCAGAGTGAAGCTATGATCACTAGCCGCCGGGGGTGATGAAATCTGCTATGACTGCAGTGAGTCTTACCCCCAGGAGACTCGTTTCTAAAGCAACACACTCCTTTTCACAGGCTGACATGCTTAGTGACAGAGCACTTAAAGCGGTGACTTTCAGGAGGTAGATCCCCTATGCACAGTCAAAATGACACCAGAATAATGGTGTTTGAACAAATATGTTAATACAACCTTGTAAATTACTTTTTACCTTGGTGTCATTTTAAAGGTTGACGCCGCAAAAATGTTATAATTTCCTTAATGTCAAAGAATCCAACCAGAAGCCCAAAACCCACAATGAATTGATCCCCCTAAAGCAATGTGACAGGTTCAGTGCATGTCACACTGTGCAAGATGGGTCTAATAATATCTTGGCTGCAATCTGTGTGTCAGAAGTTTAAGGCATGTCAGACTGTGTGATGAATGCTTGGTTAGTTGTACTGCAGCGATATCTCGTGTTTTGAAAATGCAGCAAAATACAAGTTTTGGCCATAGCGTTGACCAATGTGGTATCTACAGCACCTGTACAGAATATGTGCATGGGTACATTTTGTCACACTGTGACAATGGGGTCCAAATTTCAGACACTTTTCCACAAGCTGCCTTTGGTCACCAACACTCAAAATTAGCTGTACGATTTTGGACCACCATTTTGGAAAGATTTTTCCCTCACAATTGTCATGTTTCATCTGGGAAAAGTTCAAAATTGCACAGAGCAGACAGGCAATTATTGTCTGTGTACCCAAAGCTTGACGTGGCTTTTTACTCTGTGCCGCAGAGCTCTATATTGTTGTCCAAAAACTATTTCAAAAAAACATGAGTGAGTCACACTGTTGCTCTGGATGACACAACGATCATGGGCACTGAAGTTTATTTTGAGTAAATCCTTTGTATGTGCTGTAACTACTCACTAGCAAGCCAAATGTGTGTTAATCCAGGGCAGAAAATAGTCCCCAACAGATGAACTATTAATTCCTGTTTGAGTAACATTTGCGTAAAACTATATTGCCAAGCAGTTTTACAGGCATTGCTTTAATTTAAACTGTAATTGAACTATAGTATTGGTTATACGTTTTTAAGAATGTATGTCTTCAATAGAAACTATTGGCTTGGGGCTGAGAGGCTCACACAGGGAAGGGAATATGTTGGAAACTGAGAGACAAACTAACACATTGCTGATTTTGTTTGTGTCGTGGGATCTGTTGTTGTTGAAGAAAATGAAATATCTAGTAGTAGTAGAGTAACACCAGTCTTATCCGTTAAAAATTGTCCCTCATGCAGCCACAAATAATACGACTGCCCTTACACACACGAGAAAGTTAGCAGTATTTGTTGTGTTCTGTTCCCTCATGGCCACCACTTGCATGCAGCTTATGTAAAATAATATTTGCTCTTTACACTGGGAGTTATACTCACTATACTTGCTTGAGCTTATGTAATTACAGAATAATTAGGATTGTCTTGCCAATTAACTAGACTTTGTTTGTTTTGTGTGTCCTGTGTATAGCTGGTAGCTGTTTGTGGGGGGTGGGGGGGGGTGGGGGGGGCTGGTTTGTCGGGGAGAGCCTGAAGGACAGCCAATAGCGTTATTTGTGCAAAGTACATCTGCCATGTCTGTTGTTGGTGTTTGAAGAGATGCAAAAATCAGTGGCCTGGAGACGATGCGATTGTGCAAAGCATTAAAAATGTTAAAACAACCCAGAGCCAAAAGCTTAGTGATGAAACAAAACTACATCTCTTACTCAGCTGTATTTTTCTTTTGTTTCAACAATAATATTCTCTCCTAGAGTATATCAGGGGATCTGATGATTCGTAACATCCAGCTGAACCATGGAGGGAAGTATGTTTGTGTTATTGAGACTGATGTGGAGAGCCTGTCCACCTCTGCAATCTTGGTTGTCAAAGGTAAGAGAACCAATTTAATTCAAGAGCTTGTTTTTGTACAGTAGTGCATGAATATTTACTGTGGCATTGAGCCATCTGTAGAAGTATTCGAGGAGTAAGAGAAAAATGTGAATAATCCCTTAGGCTTCTTGTGAATATATAGTGAGGGAAAGCAAATTCAGTCAGAGTTATGTCATCTTCTGTTCACATTATATATGTGTGTTGGTGAAGTCTGAAAATGGCGCACACTCACTGGCCTGTGTGACTTTGGGCTCAGCTGAGCTAGCTTCGTTGATATTTGCTTGGCGTATGTGGCTCAGTGTGCGGGCTAATCTCTGGTGATTTACATTGGTATTCATGCCCTTAACAAACTGTAATAGCTGTCCCAGGTGCTTTGAGAAGGCAATGTTTATCACAGAAAATGACTATAATTGGCTCATTTACACATCGGCAAAATATCATGGAAAGCATCTGAATAATGGAGCAGCAGAGCAAACAACATGGTAAAGCCAGACCGAGTAAAACAGTCACAAACAATCACTTCTTTCTCTCTATCTCCCTCTCTCTGCGTATTGTCTCTTTTCACTGGCGACTCCTCCCCCTCTAACCCTCTCTTTCCTTTTCTCATAAATGATCGGGTCCAGGTTATGTTTTCACTCGTGTTTGATAATCACTTTGTAGGCACGCTCATCACACACACAGTGAATGACGTCCCTGTATGCACACAACAAGCCCTTACTTAAAGGGGGTGCGATGGCCTTGATATGTAACATGAGATTAGTGAGGGGCTTCTTGGAGCAGGTGATCACCTCATGTTCACCCTCCTCGTTGCTCCATTGATTTAGGTCCGCCAGGTCCTCCAGACAAAGTATCAGTGGAGGAGATCACTGACAGCACGGCACAGCTTTCTTGGACGCCTGGAAGAGACAACGGCAGCCCCATCACCGGCTACATCATCCAGGGCCGCACGCCTTTTACTGTGGGCTGGCAGGCTGTAGACACAGGTAGCATCAAACACTCCTCCTGTCCTCCTTGTAATATTCATGTGGTCCATATGTAGGTCTTTATTATTTATTTATCATTCAATTTGAGTCCAGTTGTGCAGTAGCCTGATTTTCTAAGGATCTCATTTCCACATTGCAGTACCAGAAGTGGTCAATGGGAATATGCTGACAGCCACAGTGGTGGGTCTGAATGCCTGGGTGGAGTATGAGTTTAGGGTGGTGGCTCGCAATGCCGTAGGCCTGGGAGAGCCCAGCCCAGCCTCAGCCAAGACCAGGACGGAGGATGCCAGTATGTAAAACTAAACACTCATCCACACACCAAACACTTAGACAGTAAGGTGGGAGATTATTTTGTGATTTTAAATTTATTTACCAGGTTTTCCCATGGATTTATTACCATAAATTAAATTTGATTTTAAAGGAGCTACTGTATATGTAGGTTTTGCTATTGCTGCATAGCATAACGTTAGCATTAAGCTGTTTACTTACCAGTCTTACAGAGAGCTTCAGCCATCGTTGAATTTACAAGACAAAAGGTTATGATACGTCCTCTGAGCAGCGCTTCTTGCTCAGGAAAGACTGGACGCTAAAGTGACAGAAGTGTCGGTATCGGAAAGTGACGAGACAAGACCAGGGCTGGCTGGTTAGCATACTAACTTCAGTAGAAGAATATAAGTGATAGAAATAGAAGCAAAACAAACTCGTTGCTTACTGGAGACAGCTCTTGTTGAGTACAGGAATGAAGCTTGATGCTGAACTCACAAAATTTCTTCTAGACTGGTAAGTAAACAGGTGCTAATGCTAACACTGGCTATGTATATCCAATAACTGTGGATAATTAAAATAAAGCTTTATGTTTTCACTGGATAAACTTCAAATTTTTGCACAGAGCCTAACCTGTACTTTTACTGAAGGTAAATTAATGTTAGACACTGACTCGCTCTGTCCCCTCGTAAAGTAGATTTAAATAATTAATGAAATGGTGTACCGGTGCTGTTTAAGATGTGTAAAATGTGCACTGCATCTTTCTCAGTTTGGAGGTGAACACAAAGTTGCTTTTTAATGAAGTCAGAGGAAAGCATAAATCCAAACAGTTGCTAGTAATAAACAGAACATTAGGTTTGCATTTTAATGGAAATTTCAAACTGTAGATAGTCACTTGAAATCATAATAAAAAGTGACATTTAACATATGTTACAGGTTTTGTAGTGGAGAGGTCTGTGTGTTTGAGCTTCCAACATTAAAAGCAATGCAAACTGTTGCTTTTACACTTGCAGTGTGAAGTGAATCCTGATATTCAGTCATTGTACTGTGTGTGGCTTATGTAACTGAAACGGCTATATTTTTCATCAGTGGCTTTGCCACTTACTCTTAGTTGGTGTCACAAGAGTAAGTGGCAAAGCCAGCTGTTATTTGGTGTCACATGACTTTGGGTAGCATGACAGTGTGAGACAGAGTCTGAAATTGAGAGAGTTTGCAGCAATTGAATGATTTTAAATAATATTTAGTTACTTTATCTGAATAATGGCACTTCATGATCAGAAAATAGCTACTACTATTCTAAAGTACTAGGGTTAGTGAGATTTACTGTTTTTGTAAACCTATTATGTAATCTGCAATACACAAACAAACAGCTGCATGCACACATAAAGTCCCAGGTTCCCGCAAGTATTTTTTCCAGGAAGTGGGAGCAGATGTAGGCAAGAATCCTGGAGAGAAACCAGGATGTAAGTTCCCAGGATTCAGCCCTGCTAGGCAACCACACACGGGTATCACACATAAAAGCTGCCTTAACCATTTGCTGATATGACACATTAAATGTGATGCTTCACTTGTTAAAGGATACTATAAAGATGTGCACAACTGCTCCTCCACCTACACTCTCAGCTTTGCCATCGCACCACGGTGCACAGTGTGATGGCAGAGCTGAGTGGGAACAGGGATGAAGTGGGTTGAGTCTAATGTTATTTGCAAAAATTACAAATCTTGGCTTGAGGTTTATGTACAGTGACATCTGGGCAATATCAGTAATTCACAATTCTCTGAAATGTTTGTGTTTGCACACAGTGAGGGACTTGTGGGGTGTAAAATAGAAGACAGTATCTGCAGCAGGCAGCCTTGTCATAAGGCTACAAGTACAGTTGAGGCTTGTCGTTGAGCTTTGTAAACTGTGTTCTAATTGCTCCCCTCTGGGCTTTACCTCTCAGTTCCTGATACAGCTCCCACTGATGTCGGAGGTGGAGGCGGCACAAAGTCTGAATTAGTGATAACATGGGAGGTAAGTCATCTGTCACATTTTACTGTTCTCTCCATCGCAGAGTAATGGTTTTGCTTAATTGTGCAGAATTGAACGGAGCAATTTTATGACCCACATTAGAGCGAGACACCTCTCCTCTGGCTCAGCCTCCAAGAGCCATTTCTCCCTCCAAAAGCAGGGCCAGAGAGCACTTCCTTTGAAGAGTTTGGCACTTTAGCCACAATTACATAGCCATGCATGAGGAAAAGATAAGGTAAAAAGGTGATTGTTGAGTGTTCTGGGCGGTAACGGTGAAGAAAGAGGCTGTGACTAATCACAGAAGCCCTCGTGGAGGTACAGTGCAGAGACGGGCCTGTCTGTGCCTTTGTCTGTATGCATTTTAATATCACTATAGTTTTGTGTTTCGCTCCCAGCCTGTGCCCGAAGAACTGCAGAATGGAGAGGGCTTCGGCTACATCATCGCCTTCAGGCCGGTGGGCACGGTCACGTGGACGCGGGCGGTCATCTCTACAACCGGCGTGGCACGTTACGTCTTCCGCAACGACACCATCCCGCCCTTCTCGCCTTTTGACGTGAAAGTGGGGGCATACAACAACCGAGGGGAGGGTCCTTTCAGCTCTATTGCCTCCGTGTATTCGGCGGAGGAAGGTACAGTACAGACTTCACAGCCCAGCAACACAGAGTGATGCTTAAATAAGCTATAATCTCTCTCCTTACGACTGTGACCTTGAATAGCAATGATGAAATGAGTTCTTTAGTTCCAGTGCTGTTATTTCCCTCCCCTCTCTAGCTGCGAATGTCAACTTGATATTAGTTATCATGCTGGTAGATTACAGGAAATCCTAGCAGACACTTTCCGCACCGTGCTGTCAGGGAGGTATCCTGTTAATTGAATTTGCTGGGCAGATAGTCTTCCCTTATGTCAGTCACAGATCCCATTAAAAGAGAGCGGGGAAATAGCTTTTCAGTGAAACTACAGGTCTATTCTGTGCCTTTGCTCTTATTGCTATTAGTGTGTGTGATGGTGTTGGATGAGTTTGTGGGATTCTCACCAGAGCTCTATTTCTGCAGTCCCCAGTGTGGCTCCTAAGAGGGTTAGGGCTAGAAGTGTGTCTGCAGCACAAATTGAAGTGATCTGGGAAGCTCTCCCTGCCATCCCTGAAAGAGTGCTTGGATATGAGGTAGGTTGTGACTCACTACAAAATCTTTCTTTTTTTTTTAATAACATGATAATTTAGCTTTTCCTTGTGGCTTGTTTATCAGCTCATAATCATCCTTTCATTGTTCTTCAAATGAGTTTTTCTCTTTTTTTTCAACTTATAATATTCTACCTCATGCATCTCTGCAGAGAATTAGTTTTAAAGCGTAATATCATGGAGTGACCTCAACACTTTTTGGCGCACCAACAGCAAAACCCACAGGAGGAATATAAAATCCCTCACCCATTCAAGAATGCAAAGAGGGCTTTGCTGTTTTTTCCCCCAACGGTGCTCTTTCAATATCTGTCACCTCTGGCCCTCGGCACAAAGCTCTCCAGTTGCCATAGCGCTGGCCACATTGTCCTTTCAGAACAGAGCTCATTTCTCCAAACGCGGTTCTGAAGTGGATTTAAGCTGCTGAATCTCAATAGACCACCAACAGTATAGGTCCGGAGCTGTTGGCTGCACATGTGTGATGCTTAGCCCTTTAATTAGATGTCATTAGGATTGCAAATGCAATCCAGTCTCATGTTTAATGTTATCAATTATTACTGCTCCAAAGATTACATTACTGTAAACTGAATTCTGGCACTTCAGCTTTAATTGATAACAAATTTGAAATACAATAATTTATGGGAGGTGGAATAGCAGGAGTGCTCCTGGGGGCAGACTTCAGATTCCACACATTCATTTTAATTATTAAGTGACTTAACTCTTATGTCACTTAATACTAGACACATGAATATTGAAGATGACCCAAAGCAAGTGGCAAATTAGCCCATTTGCGTTATCAAATATCGCTTCACCTGCGCCCTTAATTGGAGGCTAACAGCCTGAAGGAATGCAAACTCTGCTTCTTGTTTTACAAGAGGGCAGAATCCTGCTTTTGCTGTAGAAAGTGGTGATTTGTTAGTACGGATAAAGCATTTTGAAATCTTTGTAACATCCATAACCTCTTTGCTTTTAATATCCAGTTTCCTCAGACAAAAGCAAGAGCTGAGGTTGTTTTTCATAAACAAAACAGGCAACAGTCATGAATTTTTCTTCCTGGGTCACCTATCATATGACCCACTAATGTTCTGTTTATATGACCGGGGTGGTTGAGAGGATATGCATCAGTAATTGAGACTCCACTCTTGAAAAATTTATTCATCATCATCATCGCTCCCTCCCTCCCCTGCTGTAATACAAACAGCATTTCAGATTTCATGATGGAATATGAATTTCAATAATGCAGTGAAATGCGCCACTAGAATCCGGCTGTTTGTGGCCGCTTGTGACTTTTTTTTCTTCTCTTTATCCCCCCAATAGGTTGTGTACTGGGAAGACGACACCAAACCTGACACTGTTGGCAAAGTGCGCATATCTGGAAACTACACGCTGGTTAACATCACAGGGCTGAAAGCGAACACAGTGTACTACCTCTCTGTGGCTGCTTTCAATACAGCTGGCCCTGGGCCGCAGTCGGCACCCATCAACACCACCACAAAAAAACCACGTGAGTCCATCCCCCATAGGCATTGAAATCATTTCTAAATGGTCCTCGTTCATGAACCATGTCAGCCTCTCTCGAGTGACGTCGCACTGTCCTCAACGTGATAGGCATAGCATTTCTTCAGCTTTGTTGGCTCTGCTCATAAAATTTAATCTGACAAGAGAGCTTTCCATTTGCCTTGGAAGAAATCAAGAGAACAAAAAGAAAAGATGGGTTGGGTGGAATGTAGCGGCAGTGACAATATAGGTATTTAAAATGGACAAGTGATGTTAAAGCTAGACTAGACAAGTGTTGCGAAATTTTGGGATTGCATCCTACAGACATTCTGCAATATGAGTAAGAAAAATAACCACGGGATGCTCATGTTTCATGACACCAAAAGGATTCAAGGGTTTAGCTTCTTGTGGCTGTATCTCTGTTTCATTTCCTGTGGCCAGAGATTTGCTGCCGGTGACCGTACAGTGCTTGACGCCACAGTTTTGTTTGTGAGAACAGTGAAAATTCTATGATGGCAAACAGAGCTCAATGCACTGCAGCTTAAAAAAACAAATGCAAATGAAGAAAACATCCTCACAATTAAACAAAAAAAAAAAAAAGGTAGCAATGTTGGACAGATGATGTCATGGTACGTCAGCGTCTTTAGTCGCAGGGGCGGCCACCTGGACCAAACTTCTATTGTTTTGTAACTCATTTTCGTTTAGTTCTGTGTGACTACATTTGTTTGTTTGTTTTGCCGTGCCATGTATTTGACTTGCTTTGTCACGCTTGTTTCCAAATGCTGCACCTGTGCTGTCAAATTGGTGAAGATGTTTCCTTCATTTGCTCATGTTTTGTCTATTTGCATGTGTTTTCTAAGCTGCGGTGCACTGAGCTCTAAGGGCCACCATAGAATTCACTCATCTTAATTAGTGTGGTGCTCTGCTACAGCCACAATTTATTATTCAGACTGATAAGATGAGTTGTTTTTTGTTTTTGTTTTTTTTTTTTTTTTAATCAAAATCTTTCCAAGTGGAGCTACTATATAAACCATAAATAAATTACTGTACATGTGTGCTACAATATCCATAAGAAGTATCCTGCACTAAAGTATATCTTTACCTCTTGTTCTTTTTCTAGCTCCAGACCGGGCTCCTCTCAACATACAATGGACCATGATTGGCTCCATGCTCACGCTGCACTGGGATCCTGTAGTAGCCATGGAGACAGAGTCAAAGGTCACTGGATATTTGGTAGGTCCCAGTTCGCTCTGATTTATCTTCAGAATAAAGGATGACAGTTTTTTTGCATTAGCTTATTTCTCTGCGCCCCCCCCCTCCTGCCTCAGGTGCTGCTAAAGAGACATCGCTACAATGACATCAACACCATCTTGACCAACAAAACCACGGCGGAGCTCAGCCTCTCCACCAATGACAACTATCTAATTCAGATCAAGGCCACAAGTGAGGGTGGCGACGGTGTGGGCAGTGAACCCATCCACATCCACAAACTAAGTGAGTTTACTGTTCTGTTTGCGTTCTTCATGTCACTTCCTTTTTGACCACTGATAAAGCTTAAGTAAAGATTTGATAATTCAGAGAGGATATTTAATTTGGCCTCATTGCATCCCCTTCCAACCATGTGTAATAGACTTATTTTGAGTGCGAGAAAAGCGACCTTTTTAGAAATGCGTGCACGGTGTCATCCATCTCTGCCATTGGGTTATTATTCCTTGTTGACTGGCTGCACAGCGCCACAGCATATAAAGCAGTACTGTGCTTCCATCCTGCTGCTGTGCAAAATTGTGAGGCGGCTCAGTTTGCCACTCTCCTCTTTGATGTGATACGAACTTTATCTTCTCGGGATGCTTAAATAGCCTCTCCTGTTGAAAGAAAGTAATAATGTAGATATGGAAAAAAATTCACAGTTGGCTTTTGATTTATGATGACTTGTCAGAAATTTAGAGGCTAGCACAACAGAGAGCAGGTTTTTCTTCTTTTGATCGCAGGGGTATTTCTGGTTCCTCACGAGCTGCTCTGCTGGTTTTGGTTGCAGGCATGGGAGCGCGGGGCTCAGGAGCGAGCGCCTTTAGCCCGTTGTACCTCTCTGCAGTCCTCATCAGTGCACTGCTCTGCTCCATCTGGTGATGTCTAATCAGAGTTTACGGAGCGCTCTCCCTCCCCCCCTTCCATTCCCTCAGTCAGCCTGTCCTACGTTAACCCTCCACTGGACTGGCACAAGGCCCGGGCTTCTGTGGCAGGACTGGGAAAGACTGGAAAGGACTGGACTGCGCCGAATTCTTAAAGGGACCACGCCACTTCTGTTAAAGGACCATCAGCTAGAGATGTGATGATTTGCGTGCATGATATCTTTCGGTATTTCTTCCAGTGTCATAAGTGCCGCCATGCTCTAGGTTTCATTTTTGAAGTTACGATGTCTATATAACTTATCTTCTTAGTATCTCAGGAGATACTAATGCCTTAAACCCATTTTAAACATACAGTCCATACCAAAGTAGGTGACAGAGGCTGCTTGCTTTATGGTTTCTTTAACCCTATATAAAAAAAATATTTTCTACTCGCAGGAATTTTTCTTCTCAAGATCAACTTCTCAGCAGAAAGCCTGTCATCACGGGTGCATCCATATTTTAATATCGCAAAATTCTTCTCATGGGTTAAACTAAACATCGCCATCATAATAACCACACAGCCCATTTTTTGCAGCTTTTGCAAAAAGAATCATCCATTGCAGACTTAAGAAGTTTTACCAGGCTTTGTCAAATGAAAAGAAATGAGAGATGCAGAGCAAACATGTTCAACTGTGCCTCAAACCGGCTTATCTCTGCGTTCTGAAATAAAATTAAGTCCATTCGAGAGCCACATGCTCCTGAGCTTTAGGCTACTCTACAATACCCTGATAGACCTTGGCATTTTGCTCTCTATCTCATGCTCCTCTAAATAATAAATGCCTATCACACTCTGCATTCTCTAGTCTAGTGAAAAAGCTGGGATTGCAGAGAATAGAGACGTGTGGTGTTACTATGTCAAGCAGATCCCATGTGTGCTGTTCCTTCCCTACATTTAGATGACCTGTGTTCTAGATACGTATATCATATCACAGAACATGTACCATGTACACCTCGGATGACCAGCTTGCCCAGTGCACAGTGGACTACAGGATAACAGTGCCTTCACTATAGCTCACTCTGATTTTTTTTTCTCTCTTTCTCTTTCCTTTTCAAATAGCTTAGGAGGAAGATTCATGTTGCAGAGGAGGCATTGTTTGATTTTGTTTCCACGGAAATTAGTTACGAAGGACAGGAAACTCAGAATGTAGAGGGAACCCATTATTGTAAAGGGTATGTTGATTAAATTTTCATTGGGACAAGTACACTGGAGCAGCTAAGATAAAATGGGTTGGAAGCTTTAGGAAAGCCACAGTGGATTGAGATATATGGTGGAAATTTTGGTCCAAGTATTTATGGTCTGTGGTATAATAAATGTATGACTCCATCCGTGGCATAATTTATGGGCTATTAAGGCATCAGAATAATTGATGCCAATACCACAGTGAAAAGAGCCCTGACTGGAAATGGGGTGAAAGGCATGGCTGTCATTTTACTCCCACCCCATCCCCATCTATTGGACACATACCAGACTGAACAGTAACAACAGAACATTGCAACTCTGCTGAGGGAGCTACTTTTCACGCCCTTTTATCATGTGGATGAGTCTGTCAAAAGCCACCCAAGTAAAAGCTGAGGTGTGATTACTGGGGTCCTGACAATGTTCACGAGGATGTGGAAGGATACAGTCAACTGAACTGCTACACATTTACTGTGCCTTTGCCGAACATGGGGCTGTGTACGGTCATTAGCTTGGAGGCTGTCGTCGTCTGCATTTTGCACTCTCTAACCCCCCACCCCCTCTCCACCCAACCCCACCCCAAAGTCGAATGAAAGCACAAGGAATTGATGCAAGGTGACTGGATGTCCTCACTTAGCCATCTGAACAGGTGTGCAGACCCCAGAGGCCTCGTAAAAAGTCCAAACGGCCGACATAATCAGGCTGTCCTATCTGCTCCTTGACTGGTTTCATAAAGCTCTGTGCTCGTTGATTAGACTGCTGCAGACCAGTCAATGGGATATTGATTTTCCTGCCCCATTATTACAGCTGTCACAATTCAGCTGCTTGATTGACTGATGGCCACATTCTTATTGCACTCGTTCTGTTGTGTTACATTCAGTGATGTTTCAGATGCCCTCCACTACTTTACCCCTTATCAGAAGACTCAAAGGCATTCTCTTTTTTTTGTTGTTGTGTTTTGGTTTGGTTTTTAAAAGCAATCTCATTTATCTATTTGCTCAATTTTTCACAGATTTTACAAGTATTTTGTAGTGTAGTGGTAGATTGTGACTTTGAATTGGAGCAGTGACCTGAAACTGATTGGCTGGTTGATTCTTTTGAGTTACACGTCGAACATGACCACTGTTAGGCTTTTGTGCTCGAGCAGTAGTAATACTGTATCTTTCTTTCCGACTGCGTAAAAGCCCAGTCACACCAGGATTTAAAACAGTGACATTTCAATGCAAAATCAGGGAGTTGATGCAATTAGTGTCAAGTTTGACTTTGGTGAACCTTTTTGTGCTGTCACAGTAGCCAACTGTCATGAAATTGAGCTGAGAATCCAAAACAGAGCTAGCTAACATAGCTTATTAGCTGTGTTGCTCCGTCCATTTGTACTTATCCCTCCTCTGTCAAAGTATAGCGTGCTCCACAAAAGAGGCATGGTCTTTAGAGACCAGTTTTGATTGTACAAATACATCTACATCAACTGTGTGAACTTAATGTCCTGTTATCAGCCAAGCTAATGAGCTTGCTAACTGACAAGCTCATTAATTTGAAAGCTAGCTAATTCGGAGGGGATTTTTTGCCCTTCAATTACTCTTTGCTGAATGAATCCTGGGAATAAGTACAGTAAATGGCACAGAAGAGAAATAATAATAAAAAAATAAAAAATAAAAAAGAGGCTTAGAGAGCTTTTGTGACTGACTAGCACAAGCATGTTCCCAGCTGTCGAGTTAGTATGGCCACTCGCTCCTCAGCTACAGTTGTTCAAAAACTAGCTCTATTTCTCCATGATGTGCAGACAAATTTCGCTGTGACTCTTTCTGGTGTGACCGGGCCTCAAACCAGCTTGTGTGTGTGCAAATACTTGATCCAAGTGGTGTTAATATTTCCGTAGATATCCAAATAATGTAACCTCATCGCCAAATGTCAGGCTAATAGGTTATTAATTTACAGTACTTAAATGTGTGGCGGTTTCTCAAGAGCTTTCTTTATTATTTACATAGTTGTAGTTCAGCCTAATGTTTCTTTCCTCTGCTCTTGCTCACATAAGAAAGCGAAACTATTGTTTCTGGCCACTTTTGTTTCTGGCCATTGTTTCTGTGGTTAATAAATATTACAATACAAGTACAATCTAAAGGAACCACCATTTCAAATGTGTTGATCACAGAACAACAACATGTCTTTATATCCACAAGGTTGGTTCGGTTACATTGGTTTCTGTGGTTGTTGTCGCTAGAAAGGAGTGTATCTGGTGCAGTGTAAATAGCTTGCATATATTTTTTAAACATGGCCATCAAAGACAACCTTATTGCTTTTATATAGTGTGTTCTCCAACCTTAATACTGGTGTATTAATCAATGATCTCTGTGAGATACTGACATGTAGAATGGCATTTTCATATTGAAAAGTAACTGTTTTGTCTTGTATACTAAAATTGTGCATGTTACTCATTGTTTGTGAATTTGTGTTGGATTTTTTCTAAAACTATAACTTAATAAAAATGTTTATTCCAGCCAGTGGTCTGTTCGTTTGTCAGTTGATTTTGGTTACTTCTTTGGTTACACTTTCAAAATACAATATCAAATAATGAGGGTTTCCTTATTAGATAATCTGAAACTCTTGCCTTTTACTTAGGCTTACATGTGTCAAAATCTAAGAGTTTTATAAGTTTTCTTGAATCAAAACTACCACAAACTATCAGACACTACCACAAAATCAGAGTCCAGTTAATGTTATTCTAGCTAAGAGGGGTGGTTAGTTTCAGGATCTCTGGCCAAATAAATTGCAGAGTTCGCTGTAGTCATCATCACATCGTCGTAATTTGGAATTTGTAGGCAGCAGGGTACATACTGTACACACTGCAGAGAGGTGCAAGGGGTTCAACAGGGGTCTCAACATGAGCACAGCAGCAAATACTGCCTCAGGGCCTGCTAACAGGTCAGTGCTGAGCAATAGGTTTGAAACAATTACTACAAGATTATATATGGATATTTTCAGAAATCAACACAGAATGGCAAATTTATGCTAAATAATATATAAAATAATCAAACTGATGTACAAAGGAATAACCTGTGATTCAGTGTTGTGCATTAAACAAGACAAAACTCTACATGTAATACAAAGATTTTTAAAAACAACTTGTCATGTGGACAGCAAACATTTGAAGGATTATAAGATAATTTAATCAAAATAAGATCATCAAGACTCTGACCAAATGAAGACTACATTTACTTCAAAAGTGTACATATCAAATGTAATGATAATTATGGTGCTTTTAGGGGATAGACAAATAGACTTAAATCTATTTTCAGGAACTATATGCCCCTAATCATCCCATTATGCATAAAAAATTGACCAATTAATGCAAATAAGCATGGACATGACAACATACAGTACATCGTTTTTTACTGACGTCGTTTGTGGTTCAGGGTAGAAATTATTCCTAACATCAATGATATGACCTATTTTAACCACTTAAAGTACAAGAAGACCTATGAATTGACTGCAGTTAAATAATTAATAATACTTAATTACCAGGTCTCTACAGATATCAAATAAAATCTGATGTATAAATTAAATATATGAAATTAAACATAAATGGTGACATAATTGCAATCCTTGATCTGACTGCAGGTGCCTCCTTCCATAATCCAAGGCGAGGATTACAGAAAGCCACTGCTTGTGGGATTCACACATCAATGGCAAACAGGCCTTTTTAGTCAGTGAGATCTAAACAGGATTACTTTATTCCACAGAAGTTTGTAGAGCAAATGAGTGTTTTAGAATATAATCACCCG